GAACCAAGTAAATGCAGGGTAGGGACATCTACTTCAAGAGGAGGAGGAGGAGGAAGAGGAAGAAAAGCAAAGAGAGTATAGTGGAGCAGCTTGAAGCCATGAATATTGAGGAAATGAAGTTATAAAATTGAGGTGGAGATATGCACCGATGATGAATGTGATGAAGACATGCACCGATCTTCAATCTTCAATCACTTATTGACTTTTGGATGAAGCATGTGCGAGATTTTATATGTGTGACTTCATCCGATGATCCATTTGCGTGACTTCACGAATTTATATGGTATGCAGTTTCCTAATATGGAGTTGAATGCTGCTGTGGATGATCTTAGATGACAATTTTTGGGGACTTATCAAGACACAAATTCTAGATAATTTAGACACGTTGTCATTTGATAGTACAGCCATAGAGTTGACATTATATGAGGAAACGAGAATTGTTAACAATTGGATAAGAACTGCAGCACTTGCTTGATTCGCTAGCAGAAGCAACGTTCGTGGTATGAGGTGTATGAATAGGTAAGCGTAATAATTGGTTGATGAATACCATGAGGAACTATCCCATTAGCTGAACTAATGGATAAATTAGGAAAGAACCTCATTAATACTGAAGTGGGACACTATCAATCCTACCTGTTTTCTCGAAGAGGAATGGAAAGAATGCAATCTCAGTAAATGCCTTCTACCCACGGGGCATGACACAAAAGCTTTCACTTCAAGACCTGGAATTGAATATAATTCAAAAGATTATAGTGTCCATTTTAAATTTTTATGGTCAGTTGAGGTCTTGAGGAATAAGTTATAGGTTTAAGCAAGTGTTATGGTGTATTCAAAGTTTCCTACGACCCTTACCTGAAATATGAATGAAAAATATGCTTGTTTTATTTCTAATCTCAAATATTGAATAAAGTCAATAAGACTTTGAGAGGCAACAAGTCTAAAAGATGGAGTAAGGCGATAGAAGTACAGGAACCTGGAGAGGCCGCAATGGTGGGTTTATCATTTAAAAATTTTCTCACCGTTATACCGACGACATGACGGACATTCCATGTTATAATTTTAATAATTTAATTTTTAACTCATTGAAACTACAATGACATATTCAGAACAAAAAATAAATCTTGTTTAGGACTAGAAGGTTCTAAAATTTCACATCGATGTTTTGAAGTTGTGCTCCTATCAAATTTTGGAATCTTAGTGCTAAACTTTGGATATTAGAATCAAATTTCTTAGTGTCTTTTGATCTTCTACTAAAATTATTAGCATTTGATAGAAGTTTTTAATGTCAAATTTTGAAATATCAATATCAAATTTAAATCATACATGTGTGTGTGAGAGGGAATGATTTTGTGTTAATTTAATTTATTGATTATTTTATTCGATAACACAAGGTTCTATGATTAAAATTTTAGAGCAAAACACATACTGTTGTTTCTCAACTTCTTTTGTAATTCAGAATTGGGTCGAAAAACAAAGCGTCCTCAATTACCTATTTCAAAATGAGAATGGTGTATTAACGTTATGTCTAGAGGCATGTTCTGATTGGTAAGTTTTTGAAATTCAACTTACCCAAACTTTTCATTTAACAGAAAAAAGAATGAGAATGATATCTCTATTCAAGTCCTATATTATACCACGAACTAATCTGGCTTTAAGGATTATATAAACTAAAAACTATAATAATACTGACAAAGATAAGTGTGTATCAAAAAACTTAATAATCACAGACACTCACAAAGATCAAACATTTTTAACACAAGAGCAGTGAACTTGGACACGTATCGTTATTCTTGATACCAACAATACCATATACTCCTCCGACCTTAAATATAAGACCCTTATAGACATTATATACATTATATAAGGGTCTTATATATATATATATATTATATAAGGGTCTTATATATATATTATATAATATATAATATATATATATAAGACCCTTATATAATATATATATATATATATAAGACCCTTATATAATGTATATAATGTCTATAAGGGTCTTATATTTAGGGCCGGAGGAGTATATAAGCTGACACCATTGGGATAAGGGCCCTCTCATAACCACAAGCTAATTCCTAGTATTCCTTCTCTCTGATATTTGAGGGCTATGCCTTCATAAGATGAGCATCAATATGTTCAGTAATGTTAGTGATAAGGGTCCAAGTGGCCTTCCGGAGGAGGCACGCCCTCATGCAGCTTCTCGTATTCAAAAGCCCACTATGTAAGCGCACCATTACCCTTCTCAATCACATGAAGCTTCATCTTCAAGCTCTTTAATTTGTCATATCGCGAGACCTCAAGGAATAGGGAGAGATTGTTGTGGAGTACTGGAAGGAACCTTTGAGCCTTATAAAGAATAGACAGACATGCATATCTCTACTGAATCACTCACAATAATTTTATTATTTGAGCGGTTGAGAATATGAGAATATATATCTATGCTACTTGCTAAAAGGTTAGCTAAAATATCACAGATAATTAAAAATATACATTTAACTACTACCTCCAGTCCTTACTATAAAAAATTGTTCGACTTTTATTTTAATCCTAAATATAAGATCATAATTCATTATGTTTCTTATATTTATCCATTTGTTTCTAAGATAGTCCTTGTAATAACAGTAGTTCTAACCAATACACTTGATTAGCAAGAATATTTTAGAAAAAACAACACCTCTTTATTATAAAATAATTAACTTAACTAATTTTCTTAATCTACTCAAATTAGTCCACTAATTCTTATATTAAAGATCAGAGGCGTAGTACTTTATAAGGAAATTATATATAGACACACTTTGGTACCTATTTCGAAACAGCAGTTCATTAATGAGGTATGATATGGTCATTAATCTCCGTAGGATAAATTACAAATAAATGTGCTTATGATACTGATGAAGCATCAATAATTTCTTTTACGAGTTACCCTAAGGTTATTCTCCCTAAGTGATTTATTATAATTTTCACACACACACACACACACACACACATTCCTTTTAAGGAAGAGCATAGTATATAACTTATTGGACTCGACACTTTACACTGTGTAGCCTGCATAATATTGTTTATTGCTTAATTATGATTTAAATCATCAAGTAAAATATTATGTTAAGTTTGATAAAAAAAGTGTACGATAAATAAAATGACATAATGTGAACTATAAATTACGTTATCACTTATCATTTTAAATGAAACGATGAAGTATAAAGTTCCACAATATAATGATGAGCGCCCACTACGTACTTAATCTCTCTCAAGGGTCGTAGCACCACCCAAACCCAAATAATAATAATAATAATAATAATCATAATAATCAAGGATTTGAATAGCCATTTGCAGCTCAGCTGCATTAGCTAACACATATTTATAATATACTGTTTGAATGCTTGTTAAGAATAGTAGACACATATAGGAAAGGGACAATGAAGCAGCTTCATACCTGAGCTAATAATTTGTAAATTATTAGAGTTGGTTGGGGGTACCTTATATTTATGAGGTGTTGATTGAATGCTGAAACTTATGAAAATTTAAAAAACTGGAGATATTTAAGAAGAGGGGGACCATTGCCCCTTCTTTGTCACCTATTTATTAGCTTTTCTCTAACATCTCCATCAAACAGCTGCTCCAATCTGAATGACTTGTTCTCATGATCAATCTCTTCAAAGTTCTCCTTGCAAAGTTCCACTAATTATCATTTTAACATACTTAAGATCAAGTAGATTAACCAATATAAACTTTTCACTTATATATAAGTGAATCAGCATGAGAATTATGTAGCGTAAACTAAGCCTAATTTACAATTCATCTTAATTCCTTTGCTATCCCTTCGGCAGGTAATTCTATATTCTGAGCTATTAGTAAACTAATATATTCCTGTGTATATACATGCAAATTAATCTCTCGATCGAGACTTATAATCTGTTTCGCCCGTAGTATGAATTGTTACAGTAGAGTAAATATTCCATCTCATGCAATGAAGGGAATTGCAATTTGAAGTACGTAATCTACACAGTTTTAATAAGGGACAGACCATGTAAAAGAATATATAAATTCAATTAAGGAATTAAAGTGTCAAAAGATATACTATTTGCGGTCTTATTTATAAGATCTTGTTTAAAAACTACAAATGAGATCTTATAATTAGGACCGGAGGTAATATGTTGCAGGGACTGAACTCCTAGCTTCCTATATGAAATTACAAGGGATTGCATATCATAGTTTAAATTAGAGAAATAAAATGATTTGACGACAAAACTCACTGCATTATTAAACCAAGAAGCAAAATTTAAACTCTTGCAACTGCTTCATCATAACGGGACACATAATTTTGGTGTGCCAAAGAATGGCAAGATTTTGTGAAAGCTTACCAAATTAGCAGGGGCACACAACTCCTATCTATCGTCACTTTTAATATAGTTGCTATCAAATCTCTTCCTCTTAAATTTGTGTACAATTATAACAATATTTTTGGTAACGACTTCCAATAGTTTCCATAAAAAAATTTGTCTTGGTAAACTTTTCTATAGTTACTGCAAATGGACACTTTGAATATCTTGTTTTCTAGGACTCAACCACCTGAGCCAGTAGCCACACACAAGCCTTCCCGTCTAAACCAGCTGAGCTTTCAGAGAATTTATTGATAGAGCTTGGTTGAGATTTATGACAATCATATTGACAGATTTGAGTTTCAACTGGCTTTTAGGATCAAGCTAACATTTAAAATCATAGGGACAAAGATATGATCTCTGCATCACATTAATATAATCAACATATATTTTATAACATTAAGCGCACTTACAAAGGTCAAAAACTTTAATATACATTAATACATGTGAAGGAATCGCTTCTCTCCCTGCTGGTGGAAGGAAATTCCCATCCTTATTTATAGGTACCAACATTATAGGTTCACGCACATTATTTAGATTATAAAACCCCTCTAATTAATAACCACACACAAGCCAAATTACATATATTCCTTCTGCTCGATGTTTTGAGGGCTATGCCTTTGTGAGATGAGCATCAAGATCCTTGGTAACCTTAGTGACAAAGTCCAAGTAAGCTTGTGGGGGAGGGACTTCCTGGCTGAGCTTGTCATATTCGTAAGTCCATTTGGCAAGGGCACCACTGCCCTTATCGGCCACTTGAAGCTTTGCCTTTAAGCTCTTATACTTTTCTCCAATTGCTCCATCAAACAGGTTGAATGTGCATGACTTGTTCTCATGATCAATCTCTTCGAAGCTCTCCTTACAAGTTTCTACCTTACCTTCTGTACTTAAGATCGATCAACATTAGCAAGTGAGCTTAATTAATCAGTACGGGTAGTTTTCGTGTATTTGGTGAAAGCTTACCGGCAGTATAAGTTCAGTGCTTAACAGAATCAGAGCCAACGCCGTGCCAGTCTCCCTGATGCACCTTAGTTTCGTGCACAAGATCACTAATGTTCTGAACATGATGAAGTTGCGTTACGCAGAAGTTGAAGAACTTAGCAGCAGGTGATTGCAACTCAACTTCAGCCTCCAATTTTCCAGAGAGAGCCATTTCTCTTTGATATTGAGCTCAAGATGAAACAAGGAGAGTAATGGATATGTGGCAGGAGAGAGGCTTGTTTGTTGGACCTTAAATAGAACAAACTTTCTTTACTGTACCTTAAATGTTGCTTTCTTTGCATGTTCCCTCACGTTTTTCTTAGGGTAAAGAACATTCAATATCTCCTGATTTTTTTTTTTTCAAATACATCCAACATCCTAACGTATGGTGCATAACATTTTGATGTTATTTGTATCTATAGTGTGTTTCTGGGACCTTAAATTATAAATAATATTATGACGTTGGATATAATAAAAAATAGCACATGGAGACGAGATGTATTAAATTCATCATAAATAAGATTAGGCTAATAGATGCACCAGTGATATAGCATAATTAAGGGCCATATGGTTATACTTAAGTTTTTTATTAAAAATAAAATAATTACATCAATATTTAATAATAATGTGATGAACCTACAATCTACGAAAAATAAACTTTATTAAATGAATGAAATGATGGTTTATAAAAATATATATATTTTTATTCTATGATAATTAAAAAATCCATATAGTTAGCTGAGGATTTATTTTAATTTATATTGCTGTACTTTTGCAGTATTAATTGGTGATTAAGTTGGCTCATCGTTCATTGTGACTGGAACAATAACTTACGGGACGAGAAATAAATTTTCATCACCTATAGGAATCTACGAAAAACAATTCAAACCGATATATGATAAAAATTAAATAGTAAAAATAGATTAAGAAGCACCACCGTCTTAAACATGAGAAAACTCCTCAAAGGTAAGAGCAAGAACCGCGGGTCATGTATGTGGACCCATAAAACAACTGTCAACATATAACTATAAAGAGCCTTAATCAAATTCACTAATGAATGCTAACGGTCATAGAACTAAATCAACATTCTTACAAAATTACAGACTAACGGCCTAAGTGTTATTATCGACGCTATAAGGTTGTTGGCAATCCAAGCAACTAATTGATGATCCAATTGTTGAAAATAAGGAGCTAGATGTCTTCAAACCTGCTAACAAACTTATAACCTGATCCAGTAATTAATGAAATTTATATAAAATCCTATCAATATAATGACTATCATAGGAATATACAAGAATGGTTTCCCCCCCCCCCCTCTGTCGCAAGATGCGTGCTTTTCTGCTTTTCCTTCTTTTAGCATCCCTTCTCTCTCTTGCCCTGATCTAACTTCTGTCCACTTTAAGTGCTGAATATATAATTAATGTGCTTCTAATTCCAGGCCTTCATCCAAATAGAAACTGAGCCCCACTCAACATTAATTGAATCCACTAGTTACGTCCACATGCATTCTGTTTGACGGTTTGTTAAGAACAGCAGATGTATTATTAGAAGGGCAACTGCTGAAATAGAGCTCATCACTTTTAATGTCGTAGCTACAGTACGTGTCGGTGTCAAATGCAGTGTTGTTAATTACTTCTCTAGTCCTGTATATGAGGTATATTTAACTAATTTGATTAAATTAAGTAAATTAGATAAGTTAATTAATTATAAAAATATGATATGTTTTTTTTTAAAACACTATAATCATCTTTTTTAATAACTCTTCTTCCTCTCTTATTTGATTATGGTTGACAGAGTATTAATAGAGGCAATTTAGAAAAAAAATTGAGAAATATGAGAAATAAATACGTTTATGACTAAATCAATTCAATAATTAGGTTCTATATTAAGGACTGGAGGATTTGTTAGGAGGTACATTTCCCAGTCGTTGATTCATGTATTTAATTGAATTTATGAAATGACTACACGCTAAAATAATTTTATCCTCTTCAATTCTCGTGTACTGTGTGTCTATTATACACACCCACACAGATATATATATATATATATATGTATATATAGATCCTTGTATAAAATTAACACTCCTCATATTTCCTTTTCGTTATATATAAGGCAAAACATGGTAAAGCAGGTCTTTTCCGGGTATGAGATTAAAAAAAATGGTAGGTACCTTAAACTGAATGTCTTCAATAACATAACTTTTTCCTCCTTTTATTATTTACAGTTTTATTAATTTTCTTCGTACAAATTACATATATTAAGAGTGTCAAAACAATATAGAATGAGCTGTAATAATGAAATTTAATGAATACTAGCAAAATTTTAGCGGCAAGGACTAAATTAAAAAAAAATTGATGTAAATCATAGGGATTTAATTATAAAGGACTAGTTAAAATTGAATAAAATGACGAAGACAATAAACTTAACTGTCCCATTAACAGAACCAACGTTTCATAACGAAGCACAATGCTAAAAACATCAAGCACACTAGTACAAAATACTAACATAATTACTCGATTTTGCTTTGTCATTAAAGGAACAGAAGTGGTAGCTAATTAATTCATCATGTTTCGGCTTCTGTTTATATTCAGCAGACGCCATAAGTTGTTTACGGCGTCTGGTGCTTATTTTAACACACAAGTATGCATCTTTTTCGCCTAAGAGCGAAACATGCATTCTTATTCTTGGCACACACAGTTGGTTCACATAAAACCCTAACAAAAACCACAAAGCCAAATCTATATTGCTTTTAAAGGGCTATGCCTTTATGAGATGAGCATCAACATCCTTAGTAACCTTAGTGGCAAAGTCCAAGTAGCCTTGCGGAGGAGGGACTTCCGGGCTGAGCTTCTCATACTCGTAAGTCCATTTGGCAAGGGCACCACTGCCCTTTTCAGCGACTTGAAGCTTTGCCTTTAAGCTTTTATACTTTTCTCCAACATCTCCATCAAACAGGTTGAATGTGAGTGACTTGTTCTCATGATCAATCTCTTCAAAGTGCTCCTTGCAGTTCACTACCTTATCTCCTGTATGTAATTAACATACATCAACATTAGCAAAATAAGCGAAATTGATCAAAAACCCTTGAAATTAATCGCATGATGATGGGTAAGGGTATTTGGTAAAAGCTTCGTTACCGATAGTATAAGTCCAGTGCTTAACAGAATCAGAGCCAACACCGTGCCAGTCTCCCTGATGCACCTTAGTTTCGTGCACTAGATCACTAATGTTCTGAACATGGTGAAGTTGAGTTACGAAGAGGCTGAAGAACTTGGCAGCAGGTGAATGAACCTCAACTTCAGCCTCCAATTTTCCAGCCAGAGCCATTTCTCACTGATTTCAGCTCAAGAAAAGAAGAGAGCGATATGGATCGGATGGGTTGGAGATGCTTGCTTGTTGCACCTTAAATACAAGAAACTTTCTCTACTATGCACCTAAAATTTCATTTTCTTTTTTTCTTTTTGATGCAAAAATATTAGGTAGGGGTTTGGGCTCAACCCAAGCTAAGGGTAGGGCGCTTAATTTGCTTTTCTTAAGTGATACTGATGTTTTATAATTTTCACGTTTTTCTTATGTACTTTCACGTTTTTCTTTTTGAGATTTTGTCTGTTGTGCATGTCCTGTGTATGTGGGGGATCGGGCTCCAAACTGAATTTCAAAACATGAAGAAAATCAGATTGTGATAAATGATATCATATAACTAAATTATCAAATGTTAAAAATCTCAACTAAACCCACCATCGTTTGTTGGTCCTATCATCATCCTTTATTTCCTTTGCTTGTAGTATCATTTATGACCTAGCTAACTACTCATGTCCACAGATCGTGGCCCAATATCAGGTGAGCATTCTTGATTTCATGTGCTAAGAGGGCATCCTATGCCGGGTTGATCCTTTTGAGGCCGAAATTAAACTGTGAAATTAAATGGACCTTCGACCAATTGACAAGAATATATATTAGTTAAATCCAATAAATAATTATAATATTATGTCATTATTTTGGATTTTAGAATATTTAACCTCGGCTATACTGATTTTCTTTTAAAAAACCAGATATCTGTTACGCTGACCAAAAACCAAAAAAAAGACAAAATATCGACTCAATAATGATCAAGTAGAAAATTAATAATTTTTCCACAAATATGACAGAGAATTGGCTTATTATACTAATTAACATTTTTTGTCCGTTATGATACTAGTCAACTGTATGGATTGAATTTGAATATCTTACACTTTTCAAGAATAATTTAAAAGGATTTAACGTATTACATTATTTGTGGCTTCCAAACATAAAATTGTTAGTTTTATAGAAGTTAGTAGTCAAGTTCTGATTGTCTTAAGTTGCGCATAAAATCAACAATTTAAACGCGCCTCCAATAGTTTATCTAGAAATGAGAGTATCTACTATAAATTATGTCAACATTAGCTTGCCAATTTGATTTAAATTAAATCAACCATCAATTTTTTTGCCAAGTCAACATCCTTTAACAACATCAAGATATCAGTGATCTAAATCTGAATATTTAATGTCAGTCGTCGTACAAGCGACAACTGTGATTAGGGACCATAAATTATTTTCCATTTTTGGGCAAACAATAAAACGATGTTGATAAATGATAATCCAAGATTGCACAGATAATGAGAAACTATATAGCGCCACACAGCCACAGCGCCAAAACCGTCCATAGAGAAAGAAGATGAAGAATCTTGGGAGAAAATGAACTACAAATATGTTTGGAATATAACTATATAAGCAGTTTGCCATGTTCTCTGCACGTGGTAAATTATATCATTATTTCACACCGTTTCTTGTTGTGCATTATTATTATTCCAGATCAAACTGCAAACTGATATACTACAGGCTCTTAACTGTACAGAAGAAGCCAAATTCAGTTGTATTGGGCGTATCTCGTCTTCCTCCTCCTCACACATTTCACATATAACTTAGGGTTTATGCCATACGAAGATAGGTATCATAATACGGGCCTCCTATGTTGTGATATTTGTGTGGGTGTGTCAAAGAAAGGATACTGCGTTAATTGGGAATGTAGGAAGATAAAAACAAATTGAACATTAATCATGGACAGATTTTCTTATTATTATTAGGAATAGGAAAATCAAATGTTAAATAGTTTTAATGTTATAAATGGATTTTCAATGCCTTAGAGATTTAAAAGTGGCCCATTAAAATCCTAAACCGAAAAATCCTTGAATGCATTGAAGCATTTAAATTGCTGAACGGAAATTTTCTATAATTGTCTAATGGCTTGAAAGGTTTGAAATCCTGGTGCTTTTAAACTTTTTTGATGTATCAAAAGATGATTATGAAATTTAAAACAGAATGCTTTCTTCCTTTGCCTCCAACAGTTCAGATTATGCAATTAAATTATTCAATGATTTTCAACATTCAGAACTGAAATTTTATTATCATTAAGAGGCAAGCAACGTTTAGATCATGGAGGCCTATAAAAATGTGCTTCAATCTAAAGTTCAGAACACATAGCTCTAGAGTTTTCGAGCTCCTCTCTTACCCCTCTTGTGTGTTTTTTTACCTATTGAGTTTACTATTATCTTATGTTATTCTGCTCATCCTGTTTCACACGAAGAATTTGTTCAATCCTGGGGAGTGCTGCATTCTTATCTGTCGGTGATTACGGAATAGCTCTTAAAGATAGTATCCTTAGAACGTGACTCGGATTAATTGTTTCTTTGCAGGTGCTACTGCTAATATCCTCACCTCATATTATTGTAGTTTCAAATTCAAATAGGCCTTATCAACCCATCTAACTATTTAATTTATATTAAGCATTCAACAAGTCATCATCATATGACTTTTGGAACCCAATTAGAAACGATATTAGCTATATCTATTTGTATTATTTAATTAGGGAATATAGGAAGTAGTCGCAGGTGCATTTTATTTACTGGTATTAGCTTAGCTACGTGCAAATGCTCGCATATATAGCTGACAAAGTCATGCTCTGTTTGGCAATCGGCACACCAACTTGATTACCCACAACATATGGGCAACTTAGCATGTGTTTGGATCTCCGCTTTGAGATCAAAACATGCATTGGAATGTGCAAAACGTGAGTTGGTGGCATGTTTGAAGACAAATGTTCGTTTGGATTAACTTTTTCTCAATATGACTTACAGGAGTAAAAGCATAGTACCGTGGAAGCCACAAGATGCTACGGTCAACGGTGGAGAAGTCATTTTACCGTTACTGGTCTTCTGAAAATTTTACCAACCCTTATCTACCCCTTCTCTCTCATGCCTCTTTCCCATTACCTCTCTGGCCAAGAACGTCTCTGGCTCATGATTATCTTTCGAATCTCTGGTTTTCAACCACCAGGCTCGCGATTGTCCTTTGTCTTTGGTCTTGATCAGCCACCTAGTTCGCAATCGCCTTCCCGTTCCTATTTCTCGCCCCAGAAGAATGATGATGGTTTGCTGTATTTTTTTGGAGTGTGGCAGCTTATGGTGATGATTCAAGAGGAAGAAAAGGCGAAGGCGTATGAATGAGGATGAAGATGGCGACCTCCCTTCTCCTCTAAATTGCCCGATGGAATTTGCAAACAATTTACCCTCATGCTTTCATTCACAACACCCCGTTTTTGTGGTCATTCCCTTTTATTATTTATTTTTTCTTTTCTTTGCAGTTTTTTTTCCCCTTATCTTCTTTCTTCAAAGACCTGCTTCAGTGTACAATAGCTTTAATGTCTAGATGAGGTTGCCAACTTAAGCATGCATCAACGTCCGTAACTTTTGTTTTGATCGATTGAGGTTGGGATACAAGTTGATTAGTTTGATCAGAAAAAAAAAATTTAGTTTTAATTTTGAATTAATATAGTTGAAGCTATTGTACACATCCAACAGATCTCCCTGTATCACTTTGAATGTGACCCATAGTTATATTATACGCCCAAAACATCAATTGCCATATGTAGCTATAACCAAACCTTTTTAGTGCGTGAAATGGAAGAACAACCACACAGTAGGAAGATCATATGCAGAAAAATAGAGTAGTGATCAGACTGGTCGGGGAAAAAACAAAAGACTTTGTATGATGTCAAGCGAGGTAAAGGCAACCTCATGTGTTTTGCTTGAAAATTCAAAATATTCTTAACTCAAATTCAGAATTTTTTTAAAAATAATAGTAAAACTACCACAAATTTGCTTCGTTATTTTTTTTTTCTTGTAAAAGCAATGGCTTATTGTACTAATATAACATACTCTAGTTCACTTGACGATATATATATATATATATATATATATATATCTAGTTGTTGTGCTTACAAAAAGTGTTTTATCTGCACGCGTGTGCGCGCGCACACATAATTTTATTGGATACAGATTAATTATTTCAAATTTAAGATCAACTACTAAAATATTTAATTGAAGACAGTTTTTTTTTTTTGGGTGAACATAATAAGGAGTCGACCCGGCCCACTGACATTAGAGATCATCAACGAGTTGTAATTCTGCATTCATGTTAATTAATTATATCATCGCTCCTGTAGAATAGGCAAAGTCGATCGACTGATTATTTTAGCCAATGAAGTAAAAAAAAAAAAAATTTCAGGGGATCATGGAAATGTATCATTAATAGGCCATAAGATCACTCGCACCATTTTCATTTATACCTAATATAACCAACATCTCGTCATTAAGCACACGAATCAAAGATCAAACACTTTATTACACGCATCTTTATTTAATTTTCGGCACCAATAACGATATTATAGATGAGTTCACACGCTTGGCTAATATAATTAATTATAGATAGATTCCCTTTTTCCTGAAGAAGCAAAACATGAAGCCATAGTTCTATTTGATGTTTATGCTTTTAAAAGATGAGCATCGATATCTTTAGTGGTCTTAATGACAAAGTCCAAGTAGGCTTGTGGAGGAGGCACATCCTCACGGAGCTGCTCATACTGGTAAGTCCATTTCGCAACGGCCCCATTATTAATGCCCCTTTCAACCACCTCAAGCTTAGACTTTAAAGTCTTGTACTTCTCACCAACATGTCCATCAAAATTGTTGAACGTGATCGACTTCTTCTCTCGATCAATCTCTTCAATGTGCTCCCTACAAGTTTCCACCTTACCATCTGTAATAATGATCGTCAATAATGCTTACTAAATAAGTGAACCATATATGAGTGAAGCATTAGATAATGCATGGAGAGAAAATTAATTTGAAACAACGAAAGGACTGAAGAATGAATTGACTATGAGGAAGGCTTACCGACGGTAAAAGTCCAGTGCTTGACGTGATCAGAACCAACGCTGTGCCAGTCTCCTTGATGCACCTTAGTTTCATGGACGTGATCGGTGATGTTCTGAACATGGTGAAGTTTAGTTACAAGGAAGTTGAAGAACTTATCAGCAGGCGAATGGATCTCAACTTCACCCTCCAAGGTACCGGCGAGAGCCATGCCTCTGTGTCTCTGATAGCTAGCTAGCAAGCTACAGAGATAAGGACAGAGATGTGGAAGATATGCTTGCTTATTGGACCTTAAATAGAAGAAAGTTTCTCCCAGTGCTGATCAGGTGGTTAATAATGTCGACTTAACCCAATTTCTCAATCTCTCTCACGAATTCTCGTGCTTACTAGCTAGATTTTTCTACTTGGTGCATATATTTTGTCTTCCCTATCAAAATATTATAACCTCTGGGTAATATAAGAGCTTTATTTGATTTTAATTTAGTCTTAAATATAAGACCTCAATTTACTTTATCTTTCATTTTTTTTTTTAGTCCTTGTAGTAGTTACACATGTTAAAAATTTCATCAGATCACAATTTTAGCTAATATATATGATTAGCAAGGGTATTCTCGGAAAGACAACACCTATTTATAATAAGTAACTAATTTCTTTAATCTCCGTAACTAGATCTTACATTAAGAACCGAGGTAGTACTATTTCTTTTCCCAATCTAGGAATGAAACAGAGCCATGTAAAAATTATACTGTTTGGCTTTGATGTTACATGATTAATTTTTGAAGGCGACAACTCAATATTTCATTAATTAGATTAGTAATGGGTTTGATGGTAGGTGAGTAATGTAACATGTGGTGAGATGTGGAACTGTATAAAGGCGGAGAAGGATGATGATGGAGAGTGGGAGTGAGGGAGTGGTGCTCAACAAGACGCATGGTTGCAGCGTGCTTTTATTAGCTTGGGGCCATTTGCTTTTCGATGGGTCAACAAATATCATTCAGTTATTAAAATTAGTAATTTTATGTGATGGTTAATGCGAGTTAAATTAACCTTATGGCCAACGAATAATATAATTACTTTAAACCAGCGGCTCTGCGTTTTAAACCTTGTTTTGGTTGGATGGATCTGGTACACATTATTTTTCCCCTCCTCATCATTTGTTCCAACATTATTTATGATTTGATTAATCTTTAAATATGAACCGCTCAACTTGTCTCCTTGGTCTCAAGGCCAGTACAAAAGCAAGGCTTTATATGAAAACACAAAAGGTTAAGTCGAGAAGGGAGGGATAGATAGGATGACACGAATGGCGATCGAATGGTCTCAGTGACAAGGCTAATCAAAATAATGGTGGCCGACAAATTGAATGATTTTTGCCCCCATGGGTTACATGTGGAGGGTTGGAGTTTGATTTCTATCCAAACATCATCCTACTCTTATCACCTAAGATAATTTCACGCGATTATTGGTCAGTTGTGATTGTACTTCCTATTAAAGTGAAACAGTCAGATTCGGTTGTATTCAAGAGAAAAAGAAAAAACACATTACAGGAAAAAAAGGATTTGGCGTATCTCCCTCAACATTATTATCTTTCAACCTGCTAAACTTAAACACTTGTCGTATATTATCTTCAGTTCTTAATATAAAAGCTATATATATAATTAATTTCAAGATATTAAAAAAATTTGTTAAATTAGTTATTTATAACAAATATGTATTGACTTTTTAAAATTATCTTCCTTAATCGTGTATGCTGGAACTAGTTCTCGGTGAACTCTTTACACTCAATAGGAATATTTTGACAAACAATTATAAATTTGGAAAATAAATTGAATAGATATCTTATATTTATAACTAGATTTAATTTAAGTTCCAGCTCTTATACTAATTAAGGATGCATCCTTTCCTGGAATGCTATCTATCTTCCATCCTGTAATTTGATTCTTAGCTAACCTTAGTCTGACCTGGGCTGGCGGGAGGCATCTTTGGGCTAGGCTTGGTCACTCGATTGAGATGATGTCCAGCCTATGAACTCTCTGTTTGTGTCCGCGTCTCTATTTGTATTTCCAATTGGTCATATATAATTGTTACAAAATAAGTGGACGAAAAGAGAGACATCAGATTTGGTTTCAAAGCAATCTACTGGGTGTTTCTATTTATACACAGTAAATACCTTACAAGAGAAAAGAAAGAGGATCATTCAATTAACATATTTCATTGTATTTCTACTCATATTGGTCATCCCTATGTATAGAGTGGATGATGCGATATTTATTTATATCCCATATCCACCGTTTGAATAATAAATAGGTTAGTGTAATCGATATTAGAAACATTTCTCAATCACTTATAATATCTTAGTTTATCCGAAATACAACAATAATAAATAAAGCATATATATATTGAAGAGGTGGCTCATGTAAAGCGCGCCGTTAAACTCATTTTCTTATAAGTACAGCAAAACACAAAGATACACGCATCGGGGAAAAGACAAGCTGACAAAGTCAACTTTTATTTGACACACAAACTTGTTCAAGCAGTAGGGCAGCTTAATTACGAGCAAGAGATCAAGATGGAGTAATAATTATGAATTGGAAGGTCTCTAGATGAGGTTGCTGACATAAGCATCAACGTCTTTGGAGACTTGAATGGCAGTTTCCATCAAGGAGGTTGGATCTGCAGTGTCTGAGCTTGGCTTCTCATATTCAAAGGTCCAATGCAATACGCTTCCCGACAGTAAATTTGGAGTTAGTTTCAGATAAACCATGAAGCTATTATACACATCCAACAGATCTCCCTCTATCACTCTGAACGTCATTGATAGGTCTACTAAGTTTATGCTTTCCACCACCAGCTTAGCTACTTGTGCTGTACCATCTGATTTAAAAGTGTTAATCACAGTGCTGATGAAATTAGAATCAAGATTTCATATTATAAGATTAACTGCAGGTTTCAGCTTCATGGATGAGAATTAAATTGAAATTAGTGTTAAGATTCAAAAGGAATCATACATATGTACGTGAAGCAGTAATTTAAAAGGTAGAGAGTGAAGTTGAAGGTGGCTTTCACCTAGCAGGGTATAATGAGAGAGGAAGACGAAGCCTGAAGTGCCCCATTCACCTTCAACAATTTCAATGCTTTGTATAATCTCAGGTGAGATTGTGAGAAGCTCATATATTCTGGTCGAAAATATTTCAAGAAACTTCACAGCTGAAGTATTGAGTTCAAGATCTGCCTCCAGACTGCTAACCACAGACATCTCTCTCTTTCTCTCTCACAACTTAGATTTCACTTGCGTGTAATAAGAAGACGAATGGTTGGGGAAGATTGGTGTTATTCAAGGTCCCTTAAATACGTACGAAATCTGTAATGCATTCTGGTCCTTGGGAGGATATATTATTGTTGGTTAGCTAATCGAAGATGTGGGGGAATGACGTTTCTTATATCTTTTATTTACATTATCCGTATTTTTTTATTTTTATAATATAGAATACATGTATAAAGTATATGTCATGTCAGAAAAACTCTTGTTTGATAGATCGCAATTATTGAAGAAAATATCATTAAATTTTAACAAAATGATTGATTTGTTCAGCTGAACGAGTCCAGGGCCAACGGGAAAAAAAAACGTTTTAGCAATGACTTTTGTAGCACCTGAAAATAAAATCGTTGCTAAAAGAAGTGTCGTAGCAATTTCTTTTACGTAGCTGTTATAATCTTGAATAAAATAATAGTGAGGGATTAACTATTAGGTCTGCGAAAATCAATATAATTATATAATTAGGTCCCAAAAGTAAACAATCTTCAGTTATAATTATTAGTAGAATAGTTGCAAATTACACGTTACAAAGTTGAAAATAAAGAAGTATATTAATTATAGAGAGAGAGAGAGGGTACATCAAAAAAGAGAGAGAGACAGAGAGAGAGATGTCTGTGGTTAGTTCTGGAGGCTGATGTTGAGCTCAAGACTTCAGCTGTGAAGGTTCTTGACTTCTTGAAATATTCTCGACCAGATTATATATATAAATATATATATATATATATATATATATGAGCTTCTCACTAGCTATTTCCCCTGACATCGCACAAAGACTTGAACTTGTTGGAGGTGAATGCGGTACTGTAAGCTTCCTCTTCCTCCCACTATATATACCATAGGTAAGTGATTGAATTCTAATTATTGCTTCACTGAAGAATTCTTTTGAAAATCTTAAACACTATATATAGTCGTCCATATAGAGTTGAAAATTAACCAGTTATGCTTTTTTGTGGGAAAACGTACACGGATGGGAAACCACAGGTGGTTAAGGAGATGGTGGAAAGTATAAACATAATCACACAGAGCTATCAGTCACATTCAAAGTGATAGAGGGAGATCTGTTGGAGATACACGACAACTTCAAGTTTCTTCTGAAGCTGACTCCAAACGTTTTGTCGGGAAGCGTTTTAAATTTGACCTCGGAATATGATCAGAAGCCAGACGATGACACTTCAGACCCAACCTCCTTGCTTCAAGCTGTTATTCAATTATCCAAAGACGCGGATGCTTATGTTAGCAACCTCATCTAGACATACATTAATAATTATTTGCTTTCTTGCTTACTCTCATGAGCTGCCCCTCTCTAATTATAACTAATTAATGAAGTTTGTGTATCAAATAAAAGTTGACTTTCTCGCCTTCTCTTTTCCCCGCTGCGTATATCTTTGCATTGCTATATATATTTAGGAAGAGCGGTCAAATCATTCAATGTATTATACTATTATTATACGTCACTGCATATTTTGAATGACTTTTTAAATTGATTTTCATATTTTGCTTTAGTCATAAACTAACTCTCTTATTATGTTGCCGAGAATTTGCAGTAAATTGCGTATTTTTAATTAACCTACCTTTTAACTTATAAAAACCCACTTTCTTTTTGTTTTTCACTTTTCACTTTAGCTGAATTTGTGATATCCTATTCCAGATATGCTATAATCGTACGTGAATTTATAGAGGAACTCGCATATATAAAAATTAAATTATACAAGCAGATGCGCTTGTTCATGTCAAGCGCGGTAACAAACAGAATGTAATAAACATACACGCATATATATAGGAAACAGCGGACAAAGTCAACTTTTATTTGACAGACGCCACCCTTAATTGAGTATATACGTATTACATTGTTTTAAGTAATGTCTAGATGAGGTTGGCAACGTGAGCATCAACGTCTTTGGAGAGTTGAATAACCTCTTTCATCAGTGAGGTTGGATCTGCAGTGTCATCGCTTCGCTTCTCATATTCCATAGTCCAGTGCACTACGCTTCCCGACAGTACATTTGGAGTGAGTTTCAGAATAAATTTGAAGCTATCGTACACATCCAACAGATCTCCCTCTATCACTTTGAATACGGCTGATAGGTCTATTAAGTTTATGCTTTCCACCACATCCTTAGCCACTTGTGGCATCCCATCTGTTGTGTACACATACATATATAAGCAAAAGATCTTTTGTGTAATCAAGTGTAAGCAAACACGAAGGAACAAGATTATATAATCACGCCCGCCCTCAAAACAAGATTTCATAATGATCATGCGCCGCGCGCGCGCGCACACACATATATAACTGGTTTCAACTGCATATATGGGCAGCATTAAGGCCTAAAAGAAATCATAATAAGCGACGTTGTGATTTGAAAAATAGAGTGACGTTGCCTGACCTAACGTGTAGTTGATGACGAAGGAGAAGCCTGCAGTGCCCCATTACCAGAAACAATTTCAACACTTGAACGATGTCAGGGGAGATAGTGGCAAGCTCATATGTTTTGGTGGAAAATATCTGCAGAAACTTCGAAGCTGAAGTTTGGAGTTCAACATCTGCCTCCAAAGCACTCACCATCTCTGATCTCTCTCTCTCTCTCTCTCACTTCAATTAGATCGCAGACAAGACAATACTTGCAACGTAAAAAGATGACAAATGCTTGTGGAAAGCATTGGGGTCCTACGATGGCCTTTATTTGCATATATAGAAAACACCATATGTGATGCGTGTTGGGGGATATATATTTTGTAGGTTATTGGTTGAAAAGATCATATTTAATTAATTACCCCCTCTTCTTTTTCTAGGCTGAATATTAGGGGTTTTGTTATTTTATAATATATATTATTATTATTATTATTATTATTATTATAGTGGGAACTCGGAATGAATCAGCCGTAGTAAAATTATCTTGATTTAGCCCTTCCATATAGTCTCTTTGAGAATACTTGAGAGATTTTCCTACTATTAAAAATTAACAATTTCAATCCCAGAGGATTTGCATGCGTTTACCCATGGCACAAGGTTTTAATGGCTAAACTCAAACCCAGTTCTTAAAATTTTTACACAACTCACCCAGAATGAAATACACAGGATTCTTACACTAGATAACGCTTGTGTGGGTTTTGTCTCCGCCTCATGAGTTTGTTGTTTACTTGTTTTTTCTTAGTCATATTTCATTTAATGAAAGAAAGTCACGCATTTATCATATTTACCGAGACTCGCGTAATTTTTTAATTCAACCAAGACTTTGATGTATTGTATTTGTATACCATATAATATATTATATATATTAATTGGTTGGTGGTTAGCTCATATCAAACTTTATTATCATTTCATATAATATTATATAATAGTATCCTAGGCAAATCATATCACATTTATGATAATTAATTTACTTATTTAATTTTCTTAAACTAATCAGATTAATTATGATGGCCCCAAAATCTCGACTAAACCCACTGCCGTTCACAAAGTGACAAATTAAAGAATTGTGTGGGGAGACGAATTTGTTTGAAAAAAGACCTTCTCCAAAGGAGCAAAAACATAAACGTGTGAAGTGCAACACAAAAATCAAAGCTATGGTGGGAACGGGTGAGAAAAGGAGGATTAGAGGATTGGAACAAGGCAAATTATATATTTGGACTAAACAAGAAGAATAATGACTAACACCTTAACAAGACTAACTTTTTTATATGTCAGTTGAAAACCTTTGTCTTTGGTTGATATTTGAAAATTAATTTCCTAAACTACCTCTTGTCTATATATAAGTTAGAGATTTTGAAAAGTTAAGTCGGCAATTCCGCAAGGCTCAGCTGAAATGAAATTCAATCCATTCATACTTCAATGTTAAAAAGCACTGTATGTAAGTTGAAAATGCCAGAAGAATGAACACACTGACATGCGCTTGTTGATGTGAAGCGCTGTAACAAGAACAGAATATAATAAGCACACACGCATGTGGGCGCGCGCAACAGTTGACAAAGTCAACTTTTATTTTACAGACTCATACACCAACCTTAATTAATACACGCGCATTAAAGTAAGTAATGTCTAACTAAATGAGGCCGCTAACGAAGGCATCAACATCTTTTGAAACTTGAATAACCTCTTTCATCAACGAGGTTGGGTCTGCAGTGTCATCGCTTGGCTTCTCATATTCCAAAGTCCAGTGCACTACGCTGCCCGACAGTACATTCGGAGTGATTTTCAGAATAAACCTGAAGCTATTGTACACATCCAACAGATCTCCCTCTATCACTTTGAATGTTATTGATCGCTCTATTAAGTTTATGCTTTCCACCACCTCCTTCGCTACCTGTGCTGTTCCCTCTGTGTCCATGCATGTACACATAAACATAAAAGGATCATATTAAAAAGAATTGTCAATTCATCACCCTGATGAAAACAGGATTTCATATTAATCGTATATAACTGGTTTCAACTGCATCAAGAGAGGAAAGAAATCATAAGGGAAGCAGTAATTTCAAAAGCAGCTAGAGAGTGATGGATGTTGGCTGACCCACGGTGTAATGCACGAGGAAGGAGAAGCCTGCGGTGCCCCAGTCACCGCCAATAATTTCGAGGCTTTGAATGATGTCGGGGGAGATCGTGGCAAGCTTGTATGTTTTGGTCGAGAATATCTCCAGAAACTTCAAAGCTGAAGTTTGGAGTTCAACATCTGCTTCCAGAGTACTCACCATATCTCTCTCACTCCGATTAGATTGCACGGAAAGAACAATACTCACAATGTAACAAGATGTCAAGTTCTTGTGGATACTATTGCTATCCTACAATGACCTTTATATAACAAAATTCGTGATGTGGATATATTTGTGTAGGTTAGTTTTGAATATCATTTTTAATTTCCCACTCTTCTTTTTCCCGGCTGCATATTAGAAGTTTTGTCATTTTATAACATTTCCTCTCATCTATATAACAGTTTTACTTAGTTAATTTGAATAGATTGGAAAAGTCAAACATCTCTCTAAGATATCTATATATAACGTTATATTATATTAATTTATAAATTAAGTAAATTAATTTTAGAAAATATGATAAATACGGGAGATAAAATATTTTTTTATATTAATATCCTATATTTAAGATGAGATTTAACTTCCCGACTATATTATATATTATAGGCTGTGTGTGTTTACCCATGGCACAAGGTTTTCATGGCTGAACTCAACCCCAATTCTCAAAATTTTTACACATCAAGTCACTCAGAATGAAGTTGTTAAATTAAAAAAAAATGCTCGAATGCTTGCATATCCAACTCTTTGAATAATTCTCTCTGTTTTTTTAAATCAATTTTTATCGGTGTCCACTTTTTTTTAATCAATAATGCTCGACCAATGTTAATCATTGAGGTTACGGTCACACAAGCGATGGATCATATTAATTTAGAAATTTTAAAATTTTATAATGTTCAATATTTTTTGGCCGGAATTATAATATTATAATCAAATTATGTTGTAGCCATCTCAGATACAATATTAAATTCCAAGCAATTATTATACATGAAATTAAAAATATTCTTTTTTATTTCTTGACCAGATAATCAGAATGCAGTTTCACGTGTTATGAAGTTCCATCGTTGATGTTGGCCACATGAAAAAGTTCCCGGCCTCACTGATATTATGTTAATTAGTCATCATTATCGAATGATTAGCCAACAACTCACGCTATTTATTTTTTATTTAAAAAATCACAGCTGAGATTACTATATGCAATTTGCTGTCTGAAAAATCTGATTATTTAAGTGAGATTATTATTTTAGTGTTATCCACTTCTAATGGATGTGATATTTCTCACTATATGACAAAGATATTATTATAAAAACTGAAAAACAAAAATGCTTGTGTGGTCTTTTTAATTTCCCCGCCTGGGTGTGTTGTTTGAATTTCGTTTACAAAAACGGCAGACGAAAGTAATGTTTTTTTCACGTTGATAATAATTTATTATTATACTACTGTTAAATATTGGTAATCAATATATCTTTATTTATTTATTTATTTTCTAAAAATATCATGAAAAATAAAAAAATCAGGAAAAAGCCCCCTATTAAAAATTCTGTACTCTGTGTGTGCAGAATTTGCAGAGTCCAGTACTCTCTATGTATAAAAATTTACCAGATCACTCACACTAATAAAACTTTGAATGAAAGACTTCTCCGCAATTTTTCCCCAAAACAATTGAATCAGGTAAAAGAAACTCCATTTTCTGTTAAATAAGACGTTTGATTTAGGCGGTGGATGTGGCTATACTTATTGGATAAAGACTACCATATCCGTGACTAAAGAGCTGTATGCATACATCTCAACCGAAATACTCATATTTAAATTTAAATTGATGATAGTTGCTACTCTCCCTCCATCCTTTTTTTTTTTTATAATAATTAACAATCACTGTCCTTTCCTTGTTCCCAAATATAAGTAGCATTTACAAACTATCTTAAATTTTTGTAATTAATTTTCTATTTTGCCGATATTAAATACTTATTTTAATGGTTAATATATATATTACCTGAAACATTATCTTCTAGATAATTAATGTTCTGAAGATTATATTTTAATATAATTTCTCTTCATTACATATTTTCATTCTCTAACAATTCTCTTTATTATAATAATTTTGTTATTCTCTTTCTTATACTTTCTCCTTATAAATAAGGACATATAATTTGTCAAAAAAATTTCAATTTTAACACATTAAGATTTAGTGCAAGGTTGCTCACAGAAGGAGTAATTATTAAGATTGATTGTGGGGCTAGTTAGAGAAATCCATCATGATTGAGATTTTGAGGGATTTTCCCGACATGGTAGTTGAACTTTAAAACACTGGAAATTCGCATAAAATTAATGCAAGTAGGATAAGACGACAACGAAATCTCCACTAAATCCACGCCATTCACAAAGTGACGAGTTAAAAGAATTATATGGAGAGACAAATTTGTCTGAAAATTAAAAACGACCTTCCAGATAACCGAAAACACAAATGTGTGGTGTGCATCCCGACGAGAGATCAAATCTATGGTGGGAACGGGTTAGAGAAGGAGGATTTGATGATTAGAACAAGACAAATGCTCCTCCGGTCCTTAATATAAGGCCTATTTAACTAATTTAATTAGATTAAGAAAGTTAGGTAAGTAGAAAAAAAATGACACATTTTTCCTAAAACACCATAATCATCTTTTTTAATACCTTCTCTCTCTCTTCTACTTGATTATGGTTGAGCGAGTATCTATAGGGGTAATTTAGAAAAAATTGATAAATATGAGAAATGGATCTTATATTTAGGATCAAAATCAACTCAACAATTAGGTCCTATATTAAGAACCGGAGGAGTATTATATATTTGGACTAATAAAAATAATAATGACACATTCATTGTGAGGACATTTTAGTTCAATAATACTACTTCCATTCTTTAACATAAGAACTAGTTTGAGATTCAATTTGGTTTTAAATATAAGATCACAATTCACTTTGTCTCTTATGTTAAAGGTTTCTACAAATGGTAGTTTTAGCTAATACACATGATTAACATTGATAGTTTAAGGAAGACAACATCTATTTATTAGAAATAATTAACTTAACTAATTTTTTTAAAATATTCAAATAGTTAACTAGTTCTTATATTAAGAATTGGATGTAGTATTACATACTATGCTTATACTACTCTTAAATTTTTTTAAAGTATGAGACTGCTGGCGAGTTTAGACTCTCTGTAAATATCACAAATGCAGGAGTTCTTTCATAGTCTTATTGGGTGTTGGATGATAAAGAAAAAATACTCCAAACTTTTCATATACATGTCAATTGAAATCATTGGTATTTTATTGATATTTGGAAATCAATTTACTAAAATACCCTTCTTTATGTTTAAGTTGGAGATTTTAAAAAGTTAGGTTGGAAATTCCGAAGGGGCTCAGCTGAAATCGATGACTTTCAATTAGTTCATGTTTTAATTTTAAAATGCTACATGCTAAGTTAAATCAGCAATGCATGTAAGTTGAAAAAATGTCAGGAGAATGAATATAAAAAAAAAGCTGTTTAATTAAGATCTCAATTCAACTCGAGGGACTATATGTAAACATGAGTTTTTTTTTTCTGGAGCAAAAAGGTTAGACTCTTCAGGCCTCACTACCTCAAGAATTGTTCCGGTTTTGAATAAATAAATTGAACGTTTTGACCCATTTTACACCGAAAAAAAAGACTAAAGGTCCTTAATGAATAAATGGTCATTTTTCAATGAAAATCCTTAAATAATGATATTTTAAACTTCTCGAACTTAAAACCCAAAATGTGATATTCGTATTCGAATGAGTCCGTGGATTTAAAAAAAGAAAAAGAAGAAGAAGAAGGGAACCATCTGTAGGCCGTAGATTTTGTTCGCCCAAGGCCACATTCGTAAAGGCTTCGTCTCTGTCATGCACCGAGAAAGGGATCTTCTAGACACTATTGTAAAGATTCCTTCGTAAAATCCGCAAGCTAAGAGCGCCAGAGCCCTGACGTCTACCAAGGAATTGTCGCTCGCACAGTGGCACTAATACATCTACTTCCTCCAATACTAAATATGAAATATCTTTCAAGGATTTATTTTAATTCTAAATATAAAATCTTATTAATGCATTTTATTTTTTAAATTTTTTCCAATTATTCCTACCAATTACATATATTATACTTGCAGCAAAATTACATTGTGCAGCACATAACTTGCTCTTGCTCACATACTTATATATGACAAAGTCAACTTTTATTTGACAAACATATATTATACTGCGATAACAAAGCAGGGATATATATGATCAGCACACACGCCTATATATGAAACAGCTGACAAAGTCACCTTTTATTTGACACACAGAGACCTCAATTATCAATAATACCTCAGGTCCCAATTATAAAACTTTGTTTATAATCTACAAACGATGTCTTATAATTAGGACTGAAGGTAGTACATTGTATAATTACGTGGTTTAAAATAATTAGTTGATTAACATCTTTTGTTACTGGGATAACCTCCTCCATGAGCGAGGTTGG